ACTATTGAACCAATTGAGCTGAACTCAGCGCGTTGTGCTCAGCAGGTTGGGTTTGACCGAATAGCACTATTTGCTGCAATGTGCAAAAATAAGTTTTTTCCAACATTTTGTCATATCTCACGAACTATTGAACCCATCGGGCTGAAACTCAGCGCGTTGTGTTCAGCAGGTTGCGCTTGACCGAATAGCAGTATTTGCTGCAATGTGCAAAAATAAGTTTTTTCCAACATTTTGTCATATCTCACGAACTATTGAACCAATCGAGCTGAAACTCAGCGCGTTGTGCTCAACAGGTTACGTTTGACCGAATAGCACTATTTGCTGCAATGTGCAAAAATAAGTTTTTTCCAACATTTTGTCATATCTCACGAACTATTGAACCAATCGAGCTGAAACTCAGCGTTGTGCTCAGCAGGTTGCGCTTGACCGAATAGCACTATTTGCAGCAATGTGCAAAAATAAGTTTTTTCCAACATTTTGTCATATCTCACGAACTATTGAACCAATCGAGCTGAAACTCCGCGGGTTGTTCTCAGTAGGTTGAGTTTGACCGAATAGCACTATTTGCAGCAATGTGCAAAAATAAGTTTTTTCCAACATTTTGTCATATCTCACGAACTATTACCAATCGAGCTGAAACTCAGCGCGTTGTGCTCAGCAGGTTGCGTTTGACCGACTAGCACTATTTGCTGCAATGTGCAAAAAGAAGTTTTTTCCAACATTTTGTCATATCTCACGAACTATTGCACCAATGGAGCTGAAACTCAGCGCGTTGTGCTCAGCAGGTTGCGTTTGACCGAATTGCACTATTTGCTGCAATGTGCAACAATAAGTTTTTTCCAACATTTTGTCATATCTCACGAACTATTACACCAATCGAGCTGAAACTCAGCGCGTTGTACTCAGCAGGTTGCGTTTGACCGAATAGCGCTATTTGCAATGTGCAAAAATAAATTTTTTCCAACATTTTGTCATATCTCACGAACTATTGCACCAATCGAGCTGAAACTCAGCGCGTTGTGCTCAGCAGGTTGCTTTTGACCGAATAGCACTATTTGCTGCAATGTGCAAAAAGAAGTTTTTTCCAACATTTTGTCATTATCTCACGAACTATTGCACCAATCGAGCTGAAACTCAGCGCGTTGTGCTCAGCAGGTTGCGTTTGACCGAATAGCAGTATTTGCTGCAATGTGCAAAAATAAGTTTTTTCCAACATTTTGTCATATCTCACGAACTATTGCACCACTCGAGCTGAAACACAGCGCGTTGTGCTCAGCAGGTTGAGTTTGACCGAATAGCACTATTTGCTGCAATGTGCAAAAATAAGTTTTTCAACATTTTGTCATATCTCACGAACTATTGAACCAATCGAGCTGAAACTCAGCGCGTTGTGCTCAGCAGGTTGCGTTTGACCGAAAAGCACTATTTGCAGCATGTGCAAAAATAAGTTTTTTCCAACATTTTGTCATATCCTCACGAACTATTGAACCAATCGAGCTGAAACTCAGCGCGTTGTGCTGAGCAGGTTGCGTTTGACCGAATAGCACTATTTGCAGCAATGTGCAAAAATAAGTTTTTTCCAACATTTTGTTATATCCTCACGAACTATTGAACCAATCGAGCTGAAACTCAGCGCGTTATGCTCAGCAGGTTGCGTTTGACCGAATAGCACTATTTGCAGCATGTGCAAAAATAAGTTTTTTCCAACATTTTGTCATATCCTCACGAACTATTGAACCAATCGAGCTGAAACTCAGCGCGTTGTGCTCAGCAGGTTGCGTTTGACCGAATAGCACTATTTGCAGCATGTGCAAAAATAAGTTTTTTCCAACATTTTGTCATATCCTCACGAACTATTGAACCAATCGAGCTGAAACTCAGCGCGTTGTGCTCAGCAGGTTGCGTTTGACCGAATAGCACTATTTGCAGCAATGTGCAAAAATAAGTTTTTTCCAACATTTTGTCATATCTCACGAACTATTGCACCAAACGAGCTGAAACTCAGCGCGTTGTACTCAGCAGGTTGCGTTTGACCGAATAGCACTATTTGCAATGTGCAAAAATAAGTTTTTTCCAACATTTTGTCATATCTCACGAACTATTGCACCAATCGAGTTGAAACTCAGCGCGTTGTGCTCAGCAGGTTGCGTTTGACCGAATAGCACTATTTGCTGCAATGTGCAAAAAGAAGTTTTTTCCAACATTTTGTCACATCTCACGAACTATTGCACCAATCGAGCTGACACTCAGCGCGTTGTGCTCAGCAGCTTGCGTTTGACCGAATAGCACTATTTGCAGCAATGTGCAAAAATAAGTTTTTTCCAACATTTTGTCATATCTCACGAACTATTGAACCAATCGAGCTGAAACTCAGCGCGTTGTGCTCAACAGGTTGCGTTTGACCGAATAGCACTATTTGCTGCAATGTGCAAAAATAAGTTTTTTCCAACATTTTTTCATATCTCACGAACTATTGAACCACTCGAGCTGAAACTCAGCGCGTTGTGATCAGCAGGTTGAGTTTGACCGAATAGCACTATTTGCTGCAATGTGCAAAAATAAGTTTTTCCAACATTTTGTCATATCTCACGAACTATTGAACCAATCGAGCTGAAACTCAGCGCGTTGTGCCTAGCAGGTTGCGTTTGACCGAATAGCACTATTTGCAGCAATGTGCAAAAATAAGTTTTTTCCAACATTTTGTCATATCTCACGAACTATTGAACCAATCGAGCTGAAACTCAGCGCGTTGTGTTCAGCAGGTTGCGTTTGACCGAATAGCATTAGTTGCTGCAATGTGCAAAAATAAGTTTTTTCCAACATTTGTCATATCTCACGAACTATTGAACGAATCGAGCTAAAACTCAGCGCGTTGTGTTCAGCAGGTTGCGCTTGACCGAATAGCACTATTTGCTGCAATGTGAAAAATAAGTTTTTTCCAACATTTTGTCATATCTCACGAACTATTGAACCAATCGAGCTGAAACTCAGCGCGTTGTGCTCGGCAGGTTGCGTTTGACCGAATAGCACTATTTGCTGCAATGTGCAAAAATAAGTTTTTTCCAACATTTTGTCATATCTCACGAACTATTGAACAATCGAGCTGAAACTCACCGCGTTGTGCTCAGCAGGGTCCGTTTGACCGAATAGCACTATTTGCTGCAATGTGCAAAAATAAGTTTTTTCCAACATTTTGTCATATCTCACGAACTATTGAACCAATCGAGCTGAACTCAGCGCGTTGTGCTCAGCAGGTTGGGTTTGACCGAATAGCACTATTTGCTGCAATGTGCAAAAATAAGTTTTTTCCAACATTTTGTCATATCTCACGAACTATTGAACCAAACGAGCTGAAACTCAGCGCGTTGTGCTCAGCAGGTTGAGTTTGACCGAATAGCAGTATTTGCTGCAATGTGCAAAAATAAGTTTTTTCCAACATTTTGTCATATCTCCACGAACTATTGAACCAATCGAGCTGAAACTCAGCGCGTTGTGCTCAGCAGGTTGCGTTGACCGAATAGCACTATTTGCTGCATTGTGCAAAAATAGGTTTTTTCCAACATTTTGTCATATCTCACGAACTATTGAACCAATCGAGCAGAAACTCAGCGCGTTGTGCTCAGCAGGTTGCGTTTGACCGAATAGCACTATTTGCAGCAATGTGCAAAATAAGTTTTTTCCAACATTTTGTCATATCTCACGAACTATTGAACCAATCGAGCTGAAACTCAGCGCGTTGTGCTCAGCACGTTGAGTTTGACCGAATAGCACTATTTGCTGCAATGTGCAAAAATAAGTTTTTTCCAAGATTTTGTCATATCTCACGAACTATTGAACCAATCGAGCTGAAACTCAGCGCGTTGTGCTCAGCAGGTTGCGTTTGAGCGAATAGCACTATTTGCTGCAATGTGCAAAAATAAGTTTTTTCCAACATTTTGTCATATCTCACGAACTATTGAACCAATCGAGCTGAAACTCAGCGCGTTGTGCTCAGCAGGTTGAGGTTGACCGAATAGCAGTATTTGCTGCAATGTGCAAAAATAAGTTTTTTCCAACATTTTGTCATATCTCACGAAATATTGAACCAATCGGGCTGACACTCAGCGCGTTGTGCTCAGCAGGTTGCGTTTGACCGAATAGCACTATTTGCTGCAATGTGCAAAAATAAGTTTTTTCCAACATTTTGTCATATCTCACGAACTATTGAACCAACCGAGCTGAAACTCAGCGCGTTGTGCTCAGCAGGTTGCGTTTGACCGAATAGCACTATTTGCTGCAATGTGCAAAAATAAGTTTTTTCCAACATTTTGTCATATCTCACGAACTATTGTACCACTCGAGCTGAAACACAGCGCGTTGTGCTCAGCAGGTTGAGTTTGACCGAATGGCACTATTTGCTGCAATGTGCAAAAATAAGTTTTTCCAACATTTTGTCACATCTCACGAACTATTGAACCAATCGAGCTGAAACTCAGCGCGTTGTGCTCAGCAGGTTGTGTTTGACCGAATAGCACTATTTGCTGCAATGTGCAAAAATAAGTTTTTTCCGACATTTTGTCATATCTCACGAACTATTGAACCAATCGAGCGGAAACTCAGCGCGTTGTACTCAGCAGGTTGCGTTTGACCGAATAGCACTATTTGCTGCAATGTGCAAAAATAAGTTTTTTCCAACATTTTGTCATATCTCACGAACTATTGAACCAATCGAGCTGAAACTCAGCGCGTTGTACTCAGCAGGTCGCGTTTGACCGAATAGCACTATTTGCTGCAATGTGCAAAAATAAGTTTTTTCCAACAATTTGTCATATCTCACGAACTATTGAACCAATCGAGCTGAAACTCAGCGCGTTGTTCTCAACAGGTTGCGCTTGACCGAATAGCACTATTTGCTGCAATGTGCAAACATAAGTTTTTTCCAACATTTTGTCATATCTCACGAACTATTGAACCAATCGAGCTGAAACTCAGCGCGTTTGTCCTCAGCAGGTGCGTTTCACCGAATAGCACTATTTGCTGCAATGAGCAAAAATAAGTTTTTTCCAACATTTTGTCATATCTCACGAACTATTGAACCAATCGAGCTGAAACTCAGCGCGTTGTCTTCAGCAGGTTGCATTTGACCGAATAGCACTATATGCTGCAATGTGCAAAAATAAGTTTTTTCCAACATTTTGTCATATCTCACGAACTATTGAACCAATCGAGCTGAAACTCAGCGCGTTGTTCTCAACAGGTTGCGTTTGACCGAATAGCACTATTTGCTGCAATGTGCAAAAATAAGTTTTTTCCAACATTTTGTCATATCTCAAGAACTATTGAACCAATCGAGCTGAAACTCAACGCGTTGTGCTCAGCAGGTTGCATTTGACCGAATAGCACTATTTGCTGCAATGTGCAAAAATAAGTTTTTTTCCAACATTTTGTCATATCTCACGAACTATTGAACCAATCGAGCTGAAACTCAGCGCGTTGTGCTCAGCAGGTTGCGTTTGACCGAATAGCACTATTTGCTGCAATGTGCAAAAATAAGTTTTTTCCAACATTTTGTCCATATCTCACGAACTATTGAACCAACGGAGCTGAAACTAGCGCGTTGTGCTCAGCAGGTTGCCTTTGACCGAATAGCACTATTTGCTGCAATGTGCAAAAATAAGTTTTTTCCAACATTTTGTCATATCTCACGAACTATTGAACCAATCGAGCTGAAACTCAGCGCGTTGTGCTCAGCAGGTAGCGTTTGACCGAATAGCACTATTTGCTGCAATGTGCAAAAATAAGTTTTTTCCAACATTTTGTCATATCTCACGAACTATTGAACCAATCGAGCTGAAACTCAGCGCGTTGTGCTCAGCAGTTAAGCGTTTGACCGAATAACACTATTTGCTGCAATGTGCAAAAATAAGTTTTTTCCAACATTTTGTCATATCTCACGAACTATTGAACTAATCGAGCTAAAACTCAGCGCGTTGTGCTCAGCAGGTTGCGTTTGACCGAATAGCACTATTTGCTGCAATGTGCAAAAATAAGTTTTTTCCAACATTTTGTCATATCTCACGAACTATTGAACCAATCGAGCTGAAACTCAACGCGTTGTGCTCAGCAGTTTTCGTTTAACCGAATAGCACTATTTGCTGCAATGTGCAAAAATAAGTTTTTTCCAACATTTTGTCATATCTCACGAACTATTGAACCAATCGAGCTGAAACTCAGCGCGTTGTGCTCAGCAGGTTGCGTTTGACGGAATAGCACTATTTGCTGCAATGTGCAAAAATAAGTTTTTTCCAACATTTTGTCATATCTCACGAACTATTGAACCAATCGAGCTGAAACTCAGCGCGTTGTGCTCAGCAGGTTGCGTTTGACCGAATAGCACTATTTGTGCAATGTGCAAAAATAAGTTTTTTCCAACATTTTGTCATATCTCACGAACTATTGAACCAATCGAGCTGAAACTCAGCGCGTTGTGCTCAGCAGGTTGCGTTTGACCGAATAGCACTATTTGCAGCAATGTGCAAAAATAAGTTTTTTCCAACATTTTGTCATATCTCACGAACTATTGAACCAATCGAGCTGAAACTCAGCGCGTTGTGCTCAGCAGGTTGCGTTTGACCGAATAGCACTATTTGCTGCAATGTGCAAAAATAAGTTTTTTCCAACATTTTGTCATATCTCACGAACTATTGAACCAATCGAGCTGAAACTCAGCGCGTTGTGCTCAGCAGGTTGCGTTTGAAACACGTTCTACTATAGGGTCCAATATTCTCTTTACTCAAAAATCGTGCGTAATTTCGTATTTTTAACCAAATTTGCACAAAACTAAAAAATACACCAATATTGGTGCTAAACAACATCTTTTGGGTGAAGAAAAGAATGCAAATTTTCATCTCTTGCCAAAACAATCAAATTTAACTAAAATTAACAATACATTTAATTGACTGTTCTAAAAAGGATAAAATAATACAAAAGTAGCATGACAGCTAACAGTGAAATATATGTGTTGGAGTAGGTCGATTCATCGAAAACAGGTTGATGTTTCGATTTATCGAAAACCATGTCATTGTTCGATTTATCGAAAACCATGTTGGTGTTTCAGTTTGTCAAAACCATGTCAATGTTTCGATTTATCGAAACCATGTCAATGTTTCGAAACCATGTCAATTTTTCGATTTATCGAAACCATGTCAATGTTTCGATTTATCAAAACCATGTCAATGTTCAACCAATGTTTTGATTTATCGAAACCTTGTCAATGTCTCGATTTATCGAAACCATGTCAATGTTTCGATCTATCGAAACCAGGTCAATGTTTCGATTTATCGAAACCATGTCAATGTTTCGATCTATCGAAACAAGGTCAATGTTTCGATCTATCGAAACCATGTCAATGTTTCGATTTATCGAAACCATGTCAATGTTTCGATCTATGTGAATGTTTCGATCTATGTGAACGTTTCAATTTATCGAAATGACAAAATCATCTTCATCTTCAGTGTCATTCATTGGTTTTCAAGTTTTAAAGTCCCGGGGGTGGGGAATTTACTACATTCTTGCAAAAAAAATACAAATCCCGGGGCTATTGGCCGGGGAAGGGGGGGGGCATGGTAACCGCAGGAATTGATCCATGCATTAGACAGTAAAGTTGGATGGTACATTGAGTAACTGTTTCACACACAATATCTTTGCATTAAAATATCATCACACAAAGAAGTTATATTTTTGAACGAGTATATTGGAATACAGGTTCGACTACCTGCAATATATACTGTAATACAAAATTTACATATTTAGCAGATAAATACATGTACATTTATAATAATACAAGAGTTTATATACTTTTATATACTCCTATTGATTATTGAAAGGAAATAAAGAGAAATATAATCCAAAACCTTTAATTTACACTTACTATAGTCCTTATGTGAGTTCCTTAAATAATTATAACATGAACAACTTTATCTCGTAGAAAACAGACAGAAACACATGGCTTATTTACTTCTTTCCAGTGTTAAAAATGTCAACACAAAAAATGGCGGAAAAAGGTCGCTACAAGTTCGGAAATGCTCGTAGTTCGGATTGAGAAATGGTTTTATCATGATCAGTGTAACATGACGTACATATCACGTACAATAGTTCAAACACCTTTTTTAGTTCAAAGATTTATACTTTTCACCATCTGTGATTGTACGCAGTGAATATAAAGGGATTTGTATAACTATAATTGTGAGTATAATCATTATAACTTAATTTACCGTACAATAGTTCAAACACAGAGTTTTTAGTTCAAAGATTTATACTTTTCACCATCTGTGATTGTACGCAGTGAATATAAAGGATTTGTATAACTATAATTGTGAGTATAATCATTATAACTTAATTTACAGTAAAATATTTGAAATGTTTTCACATCGCTTAATAGACTTTTCACGTCGTTTTCAAAAAAAGTACCCCAAAAATGGCGAAATATTTGGCCTTCGTGAGAAAGGCTAATTTAAATAACCTGATTTATATTGCTGATACTCATAGAACACAAAGTGATTTTACAGTGCTCAAAATACTACTGTATATTACTGAGGAAGTGCAAGAGTGTTTTCTAATTAATATCTGTACAATGCATGCCGATTTTCATCCTGACGTGCAAATACAAACAGTAAACTTTTAATAGAAGCTTCATGGCTATAAAAATTTCCCCATATTATACATGGCCATGAGTGACATATATTAACCACATTTTAATTAAGTTGTACAAAGTAAACTTTTGAGCAAGGAATTTCTTATTTTAATCTATCTTGCACATGCCAGTACAGCAAATATGCTCTTCCACTAATGAGTGAAATTGTCTGGCATATATTAGACAAAGAAAAATGGGAAAGTACTCAAAGTAGGGCACATTAGAGCACAGTGCAACTTAATTGCCGAGTCTTGTGCAGTCATGTGCACACATTCGAGCCATTAAAATATACAACTGACATTTAACAAGTTAACAAATGCATAACAGGTCACTTATATCATCTGGGCCCTCAGATTTCTCTGTGTATAGGCTTGTAATCCGGGCTGAGGTGAATAATTTTGTTTTAGTATCATTTCAGTATTGTCTGTATTGAAAAAGTTTATTTATGAATATAATTTGCATAGATGTATAATTTACTTTCATCTGATTTCCAGCATTTTTGGGGGGAAAAGCAATAGTTACTGCTCAGAGCAGTAATTACTATTGTCTCAGAGTTACTGCTGAGGGAGCCTATCAGAATGCTCAAAGGCCATTTTTCAATACTGAAATTATACTAAATAGATATATACAGTAAAGTTCTTACAGTAATGTCTGGTTCCTTACTGTCTGTTCTTTAAAAATGCTTTCATCTGGCGTTTGGTGTCAGTATATAATTTATTTTTATTGTCCAATTCAAATGCTGCCAGGTATATGCAATATTTTGGCAAGACATCTACCCAAGGGACATCCTTACTTGTAAACCAAGGAACCCATGTCTTGTTGACGCTTCCTTTCCAATAATGGATCTTGAAAGAAGATTCCATTTTTTCTATCACTTTTCCAATAACAGGTTTGTTATAATCTTCTAAATGCACAGCAACAAAACAACTTGCTTCAACATGATCCCAAACGTTATCAACATTTGCTACAGTTGAGGCCTTCTTGTAAGGACCAGTGTAAACCTAACAACACAAAAACATATTACTGAATATGTAGGAAAATGCTACATTAAATGTACCTGTATTGTCCCGAAAGAAAAAGATATAAACACAAATATACATTTTATTAATTCATTTATTAATTTAAACTTTGCCACTAATACAACAAACACTGTGGGCCCTTTAAAAATTGCTAAATACAGTCAATTAAAAAATACAACACAAAACACAATACAACACAAAGCACAGTACAATACAATTATACAACACAATACAATACAACACATAGCAAGGACAAGATTCAACTTCCACTACCGCCACCAACAATATTTTAGTTCACCGAGCTAACAAATTACATGCACACCAGGACAACGAGAGGTAAACAGCAGTGGTGTTGAAAGTTAAATCCCAATTAAAACAACAACAGATACATGTATGTGTGACTAGCACAATTTTCTCACTCCAGTACAGCATAAGCATCAATATACTTGAGGTTGACCCCCCATCAGATTTACTGCATAATGCTGTAGTGAAACACAAAAATACCAGTAATAGTCGAGTAATTAAGAATTAAATTCAACTTCTTAACTCTTTAATGATTCATGAGCAAAACATGAAGGAAAATGGAAATCACCTAGCTATTTCAAATCACTGTAACACTGTAATATTGTATACAGTCGGTGCAAAGATCATCATGTGGAAAAATTAGCTGCAATGAGTGAGGATTTGACGGGATGACAAATGTAATTTTAACTTAAACAATTTTACTATATAAAACTTCACATTTCTGAATTTGTTAAATTAATTAATATATGTCAAATTAAAACATTACTGTACCTCTGGGATGTTTTCATGTTGAGCTGCGACCATTTCTGTGACCTCGATAGAGGCATTTCGTGGTAATGTTTCCATGTTTGCCAACTCGTCTTGGTCGACGTGCCCAGAATTAGAAACCTCATCATTCCTTTCGCTGACAACACGTCCAAACTTAATAATTTTTAGTTCATCCAGCAACCATGTCATTCGGCTTTCATCAGGAGTGCTACTGTATGTGAAGTTTACGTTGGCAAAGAAATTAGCCCACCATTGTTTTTTCTCAGAACTGACTACACGAGAATTGTTCAGGAATTTGGGGATGTCTTTCTTTAGACGATCCATATCCACAACATCCGGTGAAGAGGCCACCAAGTTTGGACAATTAGTTGGAATTTGAGTATCCTTCAAAAAGAAAATACACAATTAACATTTCATTGGTATGAACATGAACTCTTAGCAACTATAACATGACATAGGTGATGCTGACTGCTGCCTGTACATCAGCAGGCTAACATTGATTTCAAATGAATATAAATATATAACTCAGTAAACTGTATGTGACTGTATTTTATATTTTAAAAAGATATAAAGTCACTAATTAGGAAGAAATCTTTATCTGATTTACAAACATTGATTAAACATTCATTTCTTTTGTATTTTCCTCGTGAATTATTGAATTTTTTAAGGTGATCTACAGTCCGATCTGTGCATGTGCACAAATGAGCCCACTTTTATGATACAAACAGTTTAACTATGTTTTGAGTTCTTGAAAAGCCTGATTGTTGTTTCTTGATCATTTATTATACTCTGGAAGCTTGAAAATATAAATAGTTGTCAAATAAAGCTCAATATTTTGGACACAAAAATGTAAACAAAGACTTTGTTTACATACGGACTGTAGATCACCTTTAATTAGGTAAATATTAATTTAATCACATACAGGCTTCAGAATTTCAAGTCCTTTGTTTGTATCATTGCTAGGTAGCCAGGTTTCATCTCTGCTCCAGTTCTTGTACTTGAGCACAACACTGCCTGTATCACTCTTTGCAAGGACAAAGACATGTGGGTTGGAGATGTTGTGTAGAGCTGGGTTTATGGGTGACAACCAGTCTCTGACATTGTACATGACTTCAAGTAATTCTGGTACTGGGTTGGGAGTGAATGATGTTCGAAAGAAAGACATCAAGTCTACAATAAAAAAGGACCATCATAAAATTGTCAATTGGTACTCACTTTTTTACACCTGATAACTTTAATGCTTTGCTGATGGTGCAGCAGTTCCCAATGGTATGTGAGAAAGGCTGTTAATTAAACATTAACCCGCTGGGCCACAATACACCCAAGTGTGACCTACTGATTGTTTTACTGGTCTAACGCCAAACAATTTTACTTGTGAATGGGGAATCTCTGTGGCTTAATGGGTTAACCAATAAATCTGACAATGTCTCTACAGTACAGTAGTTAACCAAAAAATCTGACAATATCTCAAGTCAACCCATTGAGCTGCAATGCGCCATTGCGCCCTTATTATTTTTTACTTGTCTAACGCCAGACAATATCACTCCTCAACAAGGAAGCTCTGTGGCTTAATTGGTATATTGCACAAATAAACATTAGAGGGCAAATATGTTTTATTTAACTTACCTTCAACAGTTACTACATCATTATTTGAAAGTTTAAGACCATATCTGCTGAATAGCTGGTCACAGTCTTCATGCGTATGACCTTTCATCAGGAAGTTAACCTTAATCTATATTAAAAAAAAAACAATACAACTATATAAATCAATAAATATTGTGCAATTGGTTGGATTATTGTTAGAGTGCCAGAGCCCGCCCCAAGATCAGATGAGTATAAATTAATTGTCAGTATCGTATAGTTTTTCGTAGCTGTTCCTGGTTACTGTAGGTCTAATTTATAAATGAATATAAGCTAGGCCATATAAAAAATAGTTGGTTGGCGTCCTAGCTTTTGCCAAAAAGTGGGCGGGCTGGCGTTTTTTTTTTTTAATTTATACTGTGCTACTGTAATTTTTAATGTCTTGGATTTAGGTCCGAAACTGGATTTTCTTGAACTTTTTTATATATTTCAGAATATGATTCATACCGTCATTTTCACACGCTTTATATTCTAGAAGTTAATATCTTACATTTAAGCATAATTATAACTACAGAAATACTAAATTATTAAAGCCTGTTGGTCAATTAAAGTTGGGTTTTTTAAAATAAAAAATCCTGAGCGGGGCCTTTTTTGTGGGCGGGCAAGGATGCTAACCAACTATTTTTTATGTGGCCTAAATTTCCACTCGACAATTTCCATCTACCTGTACAACACCCTTCAACTATTATTGAATTGAGTGAGATAATATCAAATTCTCTATTATCAATCATGCACTTTCATGGTCTAAGGACTATTATTAATAGCTAGCTAGCTCCAGCCATCGTTCAAATCCCCAACTTCTCCAATAGTGGGAACATTCTACAATATATCTACCTTCTTAAAGATACCCAAATGTACCAGAACAGCAAGAAATGTGATCACATATTGGTTTTTATTTTCCCTCCAGCAGTTGTCCATCTGGAGATACAGACGATCAGGCAATTTATCCATTCTCATCAGAACTCTTAGCAACACATTGATAGTTAAGTTGCTGTCATGTGGCCATTGATGAAGATCAAAATAGCCAAGTGTTTCTCTGCCATGATTTAGAACTCCAGTCAGGTGAGTTTTTAACTTCCATGCACCGGAATATGCTTTCATTACATGTAAAAGTTTTGGAATCATCAGTTTCATTTGATCCATCCCGTCAACTATGATACACACATACTTATCCAGGTTCTCTTTTGTCTTAGTCCTGTGACCATAATACTTTTCACGCTCCTCTCTAAAATATTTAATAAAATAAATACATTTTGAATTATTATTATGGTAGTTGTTTATGTAGTAGTTTATTATTTTGGTTGTAGTTTATCATGGGTATAACAGGGGGGTGTGGCTAAAAGATGAGGCAGTTTGGGCGCATGCTCCCCTAGAGTGTTTTGCACATTCCAAACCTTAGAAGATCATTTCCAGACTCCTGACAGAAATTTTTATTAAAATTTGTGACGTTCTTGTATTTCACAAATTCAAAATTTTATAATACGAAACATTTGACAGACATGGTACCTGCATACCTGGATCTATACCAGTATAATTAGGTTGAGTTAGTTAGATATTAGTGTTAGATTCAGCCTTTTTTCCAGGTTAAAAATTATTTATATTTGAGCAAATGATTGAAAAATACAATTTTTAACAATATGAATCCAAATGGTCGTAGATTATAGTAATGGTGTCTGACATTAGACAGAGTAAATAAATTAGGGTAGAATGGAAAGCATTGTTCAAATTACAATACGGGTACCGTACTAATATACTACCTTTGAAGCTGATTGTGCTGTTTATACAATGTGTCATAATAACTTCGAACAATTTTGTCCATAGTTTTCTGTTTTTCTTCTTTAAGAACAACACAAATGTCACATTTGGTTAATCTTGTAATCTATAGGGTTAATCATTTACACAATTAGTGAATGTGCAAATTATCTGCTTGACAAAAAATTGTATAATAAACTTGGGCAGATCATGGCTTAATAATTAACCCATTGAGTGACAGTACTCTCCCCTTCACAAGTAAAATCCTCTGTAGTTGAATATACTAAAATAATAAATATCTACCCAGGGCCGGCACTAGAGGGGGAGTGTGAAGTAGATGGACATGGAAATATGTTGTCTGGAAATTTTTTTGATGTTGCACTAATCGTAATTGTGCATGCCCCCTCTCACTAACAATTTTGGGAAAACAAATATTAATTAATGATAATGTAGTGACTTGGCAAAATTTGACTTAATTGATAACTCGGCAAAATTTGACTTAATAACTCACCAAAATTCACTTATACCCCCTCCCATTCAAAGAGGTCTTAAGTGCCACCCCTTAGGCCCCTGTATCTAACACTTTTCTGGTTTACTTAATGCTTGTAAATTAATATAAACTACGAGCTGATAACTGATGTGCAGAATGGACTTTACAACATATTTAAAATTTGTGCAGTTGCATCTTGTTAAAACATGAATTATTGCAATTGACAATTTTACTTGCTTAATTTAATTTATCAAATCATACATGAGTCCCACAAATACATTAATTGGCATTTCACTTGTATTTAACTTCAGTTATACTAAGCATTTGAAAGTTTTTTCAGGGATCTGGTTGGGGGGGGGGTGAACTAAAAAATTGAGACCCCTTCCCCCTCCCCTTGCACACTCACAAGTAGTTCCGGCCCTGGGTTTTTTACTGTGTGGTGGTACTGTGTACAATACATTACCTTAGGAATGACAACTTGACTGAAATCTGTATGCATCAATTTACAGAATTGTGAATAGGCAATCCTCTCTGTTTCTCCAGCCAGTGTAAGGTCTTCTACCATGTATGTATAAATAGTTTTGTAATTTAAATAACATGGAAGATGGATGGTTATGCTATCAGGCATTTTGTCTCCCATCTTCGAAAATGCTGTGTCCATCCATGCTTTTGCTATGAATGTCTTTGTCTTCCTCTTCTTTTTGGTTTGACTATGCACAGCGCAATTTCCATTGTTATGTTCATTAAGAAACCTGTTGAAGCGACTACTGCTGATGGAATAAACTGCCAACCACGCTTGTTTGCAAACAAGAAATCCTCGTACCATAAATAAAGTACTAAAATCAACAAGAGAAACACTTCGGTTGGTAGGGATGCAACTACCTAAAATGCAAGGTGAAATTGGACACTACGAGCGATTAGCCCATAATGATTAGGCCCTTCATTGGGAAGTTGGTAACGTCTAGCGGTAGTATAGTTGGCTACTAACTTTCCGACAAAGGGCCTTCCATTGATATATGTCGAATTTCTCCATGCACTTTTCTGGTAGTTGCATTCCTATCAACGGACGTTTTGTTATTATTTGCACTAACTACACTGCCACGTTTGTTGGCACAAACCATTCAAGATAAATACATTGTACTTATATAATATAGTTACACATGTTTCCGCTTTATACCACCTAGAAAATACTTTAAAAACAGCTCCCTTTGCCTTTGGACTTTATTAATTTGCAAACTAACAATAGTGTCAACACTCTTTAGGAAGGAGCATACCACACTTGTCATTGACATTATGTTGCAGTTTATGGCATTTTAATTAAGAGGACAAGTACCTGGTATTCCTCCTGTGGTTTGTTATATAGTCCAGGATCCACTGGTTCTGACCTTTCACTGAGAGCTCTGATAGCATCTTCCTGGCTACTAATATGGTCGAGTAATCAACTTTTGCAGCACATTTTATCGGACAGCATAGGAATTGACGAGCTTAAAAAACAGTAAAAGCGTTGCGGATTAAAATACAGTAGTAGGATGGCAGTAATATGGTCATTACTTGAAACTTCATTGGGACATTGCTTTAATTTCCTTTTGGGTTTTCAGATATTGAAAAAGTTAACGCAGAATCATGCACTTCGTATTCAACAACGATACTCGAAGCATAAATAATAAGTTGCTGCAGTTTGTTTTTGTAATTTTCTGATTAATCAGATTAAAAACACTTCGACATTTCACAGGAAGCGGGACAGGTGTGCCTCTGCCTGGAAGGTCATGGCGTTTCCGATCTTTTGAGAGAGCGCAGACATTTAACATTTCGAAAACATATGGACTTGCAGATATTAACATCACATGCATACCCTCATCAATGGACTTTCCATGTGGACTATATTGCATAGTACTGTTCACAGCATTGTTGGTTCCTGTGCATGGCCAGTAGCGTTAAATATGAAAAAAAAATGTAACATTTAGTCAACGTATTTAGCCTGGTTTCCACATGGTCGTAAAGTTCGAGTGACGATATCTCTCATCAGCCGAAATACAACATTTTAGTCTTTAGAACTGAAAATACGCGGAGTGATTTATATAACTAGAGAATACTTATGATTTATAATAGTTTACAGGTATAAACTAATGTAAACTGGCATTAATATTTGAGAAAGATCGTGACTCTATTTTTACGACCATATGGAAACCAGGCTTTAAGATTCATGACATTTACAAGAAACCTACTGATATGGCACTGCCACATAAGAAAATTCGCATACACATTCGTACACGCCATGCAGAGTGATCATATTTATCACTTGAGACCGAGGGAAGCAGTGTGTTTTGTGGTCTCGCCGAGACCGCCGTTGTTGCCCGAGGCGAAGTAGAGGGAAACAACGGCGGTCGAGGCCCGAGGGGTCACAACAAAACACACTGCTTTCCCTCGGTCTTAGCAAATAAGCGTTTTGTTATATAGTATATAGTGTCACTGTCAAAGTATGAATACTTTATCGGTTGTTGGAGGAAACTTTGAAACCAAAAGAGGATAATGTCCAAGTTATTCATATATTGTAATTATTCAATTCTTTTCAATGATTTGTAACATATTTTAAGTAGCTTTTTTTATATACATGGGAAAACAATTAAAAAAATTATTGTATTGGTAGCCGTTGCCGTCCTAAATCGTTTAAAGGTCTCTATTCTATTATTGACCGGTCAGTGAAAATGACGTTTTGTCGACCGGCACGTGATATGGTTTTGACCAATCGGTAAACAGAAAAATTGAACTTGAAAAGGCCTGATTGAAAATGCCTGATTCCACGCGCGCTTCTTCTCGGCGAAATGGGGAACATTTCGCACGAAATGAAATCGTGCATGTGCAGTATAAGGATAAATTGGGCTTCGCGAGAAAATAATTCGCTTCCCCAGTGAGTAGAAGTCAGTTCGAAAGCCAAAAAAGTGTTCAAATTCAATAGAATCACTCGTGTGCAGGCATCCATATTTGGCAAACACGATTTCGCACGAAGAATTTGGCCGTCATGGAATCAGGCCTTAAGCCAGTCATGGTTTGTTTGCGATAAGCGTTTAGCAATTTTGTTGTAACGCGCCTCGTTAAAATTCAAATTGAAGCGTCTTTTGTAAAATTTATCAATTTAAGTCCTAAATTCTAAAAGCAGTTAATTTTTAATAGTTTCAGACGCAATTCCCAGTCAACGGTGAAAATACACAATTTCGATAAATTTTATCGGATCGTATTTGCTCATTGTAGTTCCATATTGAGATGGAAAAACGTGTCGTCCTACAGCTACTGTATAAAAAGCGGCTAAAAGCCTGACCCTTTATGATTATGAAAACATTGCGTTCATGCACCAAGTAATCAACGCACAATGGCATGCTAAAGTTTGATTAACTCTTTTTTGATACCATGTATATATTTTGACTCTTTTGTCCTATTTTTCTCGAGTGGCAGTGTCATATGCTGTATTACTCATCGCGTTGAAGAAAGGTTTGTAAATATAAATTTAAGCATACCATTAGTTATTCCGCTGTAAAAATCGGGTAGAACGTATGAGTAACATTTGCATTTAACTTTAAGATTGAGAAATGTCGCCCGAGACATGCCTTATTAATTAATCGCCTCAGGAGGGCAGACATTCACAGGAAATAATATCATAATGTGCTTCAGGCCCAAATTACAATTTATATAAACTATTTAAAAATAATAATTATTTCGAGTTAAAGGCTCTTCTTCAATATTTAACTACTAACGTCCACATTTTAGTCGGCATAGCCCGCATCTTAAACTTTAATGGGTTTTTAATTCGACCAAAACCTTAAACTACCAGATGTGATATAATAAACAAAAAACAGGAAATCCATTCGTCATTGTAAATGCATTTTGGCACGTTTACGGGCCGCAAATTGTCATGTATGATTCGTATTCTGGCGTATATGTAATCGCGAATATAGGGCGCTTTCCATTTAATGGTCAGACCAGAATTTTGGTCTCGGTATTAATGGAAAGTCTGGCCGAAAATCTAGCAAAAATTCTATTTTGACCCAAATTTTCCGGTCAGAAAGGTCCGAAGCCCAAACGTTTTGTGTTCCATTCAACAATTTGACCGTTCTGATAAGTCTGGCCGAGTTAATGGAAAGCGCCCATATTGGCCATAAACACGCGTATGGTGGCATAGAGATTATAAATAACACTAGAGGAGGCATTGTAATCTTAATTCAGTAAAAAAAAGGGAACGCGACTATTGGGGGGGGGGGGCAAATTCAAGTCCCGGATGTGTATTCGTGTTCCCATTGGTGACGAGTTTCAAATCAGCCAATGAGAGTACGATTTTATATCCGGGACTTGAATTTGCCCCCTATTAGCTGCGTTCCCAATTTTTAAACTCGATGCCTCCTCTAGTGTTATTTATAATCTCTATGTATGGTGGTCCATAATTATTGTCAGTGGCGTCAGCAGTAATTTCAATACGTCTGAACACTGGTCTGAACACGGATCGTACACGACGAATCGTAGTGTGGTAGGCCACTAGGCCTCGGCGATTTCCTTTTCCTGATAGATGCAAATAAATTAACCAGCACACAAATGTACTTGTATAGAATCCCAATAATGCAGTATAATAGTTTTTTGCATGTCACTCATTCAATCACATCAGCCCGGAAGAAAATCACCGACAGAATTGACCATTTGCGTAATAGACTAAATTTTGATCTCAACAAAAATGTCATTACAGCTTGAAAGAGCATCACAAAATTAGTAATATTCCAAAGTTTCGTTGCAAAATGTTGTAAAATGCGGAAAATATAGCCTTGCGAAATTTGCAATTTTCAGTCATTTTAGATTACAAACCGGAAATTGACAGCCTCGAAGGGTTTGGGGCGATCAATTTCCCGTTTGTAATCTAAAATGACTGAAAATTGCAAATTTCGCAAGGCTATATTTTCCGCATCTTACAACATTTTGCAACAAAACTTTGTCTAGACGTGTTTAGTTAAAAATTTAGTCTATTACGCAAATGGTCAATTGCTAGTCTGAACCAAGGCTTCAGAATTGGAGCATTGGCAGTACTATAGTCCGTATTAAACTTTCAATTGTTCTTCAGTGTTGTTGACCTTTGCTCAAAGACACCAGGTTAGTCACCCCTCCAGGTTACACAATAAAATCTATTGTTCATTTTCTACTGCTGTCAAAGTTATAAACATATTTACAATATACAATATGTATACAATTGTATCCTCTGATTTTGTTCGTTCATTGAAGTGCGTCAATCCATGTTCGTACATATTTGGTTTTCATATTAACATCCTTGCACCAATCAAAATTAGGATTTAAAAGTTCTGACAGATAAACGATTTTAATTCCAAATTTTTTCGCCTGTTCTAAGCAGTTCAGACTGTTTCGCATTTCTCCTGCCTGTTTCAAACTATTTTGCAATATCAATTTTGAACGAATGGAGGGCGAATAAAACTTTCTTATTCCTGTAGTTTTCTCTGGTTTGTTTCTGTCTACTGACTCTATAATAATATGTGTAACCTTTTTATGAAGAAAGTCGCTTATTAACGCGCCCTTTCTACAGACAATTCTTTCGATATTAGTTATGGCATTCTTATCCTTTCCTGGTAAATTCAAAAAGAATATTGTACCTTCTAGAGGTGTTTGCTGTAGTCTATCCATCATTGCACTTGAACCGTTATCCAAAGGCAGAGGCATAACTTGTGAATTATCTAAATTATTAAAGACAGAAATTGACTTCAGTGAAGTTACAGTAAATAATTGTGTGGTCTACATGCATTAATACCCAATAATGGCTATGGATACTGTATACATAAATTAGGCATTTTGAGCAAAATCTGAAACACTTTGTCTCCGCTAGCTGTGCACGCCAAGAAAAGCGCTTTCCAAACAATGTTTATAGCAGGAGGGCGCTTCATGATTCTTGCGCTGAGCAGAGTAATGAACGGTAAAGTCAGATGATGAAACCACAGTTTATTGATGAAACTAATGGTCGATTGTTTCCTGTTAGACAAATACGCTTACACGTGACTTGCCTGGTTTAAAGTCTAAGTTTTCTGGTGAATTTTTTCCGGCATGAAATATAAGATGATCCGAACACTGAATATTGACATCCAAGATTCGAGCTGTAATATTTAAACTTTATTTCAAAATCATTGTGAAACCTGTCACCAAACTATTTGCAAGTGTGCTGAGGATAATATATAGGTAGCAAAACAACCAGTTGATGTGATTGGCTGTGAATTTTCAGTGAAAAGTTAATAAAAAAAACTCCAACGCAACTTAAAAGAGCCGGTTAAATTCATTGTCTTGTATCAAATAAGAGAGTCTCGCACTTCGCGACTTGCTGGATCCGCTATTAAAAAGCGCAATTTCAAGACTGTAGTCTTGACAGACTCTGAACCCCCAAGGACACAAAGCAAATTTACGCAGGATTAATTTTATATGGTCGAATCTAGGTCAGGTATACGTTTCAGTCAAATTCAGTGTTACATGCATCAGTGACTCAATAGAAAATATAGTCCGATAATATGTCTATATATATATAGAAAATAACTAACCATCCTCCTGCTCGTCTTCACTACTCGTGCATTCCATTGGCCAACATCCCAAGTCATCATCAGAATGAGAGTTGTCTTCCTGTCCCTCCGATGTTGTCCATGTTAATGCCTGAAAACTCTGACATCCTTTCGGTGTAGACGTTTTTACGATGCTGAAAGGGCTGGATGAAAAAGGGCTGGATCCGATTTCGTCATTTAAGTCTGATGTGCGGCAACTGCTTGATGCATCAACATATTCGACAGTATAAGATGTGTTTTCCTCATTAAACTTGAAAAGATCGCTTGTAGCAAGTGAATCATTTAACGGTGAAAGCGAATCATCTGGATCAAGCAAATCGCTTGTGTTTACATCCATTGTTTAGACTTTAGGTGTATCGCTTCCAGAATGCATGTGAGAATAGAACTGTGAACCGCACCAGAAACGTCTGTATATAATGTTAAGGCTATTGACAATTGCCTATTGTTGTTAACACATACAACAGACATTCTGTGCAACGCCAACGGATGTTTCAAGATCAGATTGACATTTGACAATGTTTCAAATATTTGGCATGAGCGTGCCTGATTGGTTGGGAAAATATACCGCTCACACCTATTCTTCCAACCCAACAATGGGCGAAATGTAAGAACATTTATATCACAAGCATGATTCATTACATGAGTTTATAAGTAAAAAATTTATAAAGTGATTGATGTTGCATGAGATATAGCCTACGATAAGAGAGAGGTTTTTACAGTATTCAACTGTGAAAACCACGAGGATTGGATTAACGGAATAACGCAATCCTTAAATTACCGGCTGATAGTTTCAGCAAATATACAACTAATGTTACTCCGAAAAAGTATGTATTAGTGTAAACAAGCACTTAGACTCTTGCTAAGACAATACATTCTTGACAACTAAATCCATAGGCAGCATATGACATGTCATGAAAAATAAACAAAGTAGACTCGATCTCAGCGGCATTCTAACACTAAGATCATCGACTCTTCAAAAAACTGGAACTTATTACTTTATAGAGAAGCACTGTACATCAAAAGACGCAAATCTCTTTTAAATAATGGACTAAAAGCTAGTAGGGAATTGCAGTTTAAACTTTATTAATTGAGTATAGATAACCACTGAACCGCCCGGGTTGAACGTTAGTCATATTCGCTTTAATTGCTTACGCATGAACTCAGTGCACACGCAAGTTTAATACACGCTTCCGCAAAGTACGTCACCTTGGCTATAGAGCCTCGTTTTCGTGATTGAGACGTGAACTTTAAAAAGTACATCACTTTGGCTATAGATCCTCGTTAAAACGAGGCTCTATAGCCAAAGTGACGTACTTTCCGAAAGGGTGTATTTAAATGCATGCACTAATACGCCACATCTTGTAAAGAAGATGAATCAAAATAGGTTCGTAAAGAAGATGAATCAAAATAGATACAGTTTTTAAAATAGATGTGTTGTTAAAAATAAAATGCATACTTTTTTTCGGAATAACATTTTGTTTTATATTGAATTAACGTAAGCTTACTGCTAGAATTTCGTTTGATTAGATTGTACACAACAGGAGACCAACGCTAATTAATTTGCATCCGTCCAGGAAGCAAGCGCCATCTTGTGGCATATCATTCACTACGAGTCTCTTTCATTGGCCCAATGAGCGTATTTGAATACCGCCGCTGTTATTCAATTACTTGAATACCGTTATTCAAGTAACTGAATAGCTGAACTCCTCAGCGATCAAGACTTTTGCGTCTTAGACTTAGCGTTGTGAAGTAAATTAGGAATGTCGCAGAGCAAGAGAAGTAATGCTGGCAGTAGCGAGCGTGCTGATAACATGAAATGGTCGTTCAGGCAAGAAGAAACCGGAAAACTCTGCGTTTCAAGGACTAATGGTCGTCTTGTTTGTAATGGCAAAAATGTAGAAGATATTAAACCAAGTGCCACCAAAACAGACACATTGAAGGTAAATCGGCAAAATATAAAAATCATGTCTGCATAGCCATAGGTTTCGATTTATATTGATATTTGTTGTCATTGATATTGATATTTTTCTACACAGGTAAAATTTTGTAGCGTCGATAGAGGGTTTGCTTTGAACATATGTCGCTTTGACTTCACCGCAAATGAAGAATCCCGATATTTCGAGCCCTATATTAAGTCAACCGAAAGATTCGACGAGTGTTTTAAAGAATTTCCCAAGGAGGGGATAGTCAAAACATCGTTGAGCGATTTGGTAGGCGATGTTGAGTTTGAAGCACCGGATTCCCCGGTTGATCTTACAAACCCAACTACTGAAGGCCCCGAAGGCGAAGCCAGCAACTTGGTCATGGAATCTCTCTCAACTTATGAGCGTCCAGCAAAACGACCCGCGCCAAAGGAAATCCCAGACGTTGATCCCCTTCCTCCAGAAGTAAGCAAACAAAAAAGTGTTGAAACGCTAAAAGATCCTCAAGAGGACGATAAGGGCTTCCTAGACGCGGTAAAGAAACAATTTCTACTACAGGAAGGTATGTAAATACTTGTTTGGCATGTTTTATCACTTGTTGAAGCCCGTTAATTGTGTTTAAGCGCATATTTCATTTGGATGTAACCATAGGTGTCCCAAAAATATTTATTCCCCACAACATTTATTCTACATTCAACAGTTAAACGTTTAAAAATATGTTTAAAATGTTTCTGTCAGACTTGTCTGTCAGCTGCATGTGTGTGCAGATTGCCCAGTCAATAGATCTTAGACTGTCGTAGGGCCGGCAACTTCTTGCCAGTCTATACATGATCACACATTATTATATTCGCTTGAAACAAGAAATCGCAAATTTTTCGCGACAGTTTTGTGTGGGAAGCCCTTTTTTTAATCGATTATGAAATTGCAGACGTTTTTTCCGATGATCATGTATTTCGAACAATTCGCGTCCCGATTTCCACCTATACTGTATTTACGTAGTTTAAAAACAAAATTTCGTTATTAAAGCACTTCCATAACCCTATTCGCTCTATAAAAACTATTTATAAAGTTATAAAATATATCCAATGTTTTTGCCTTCAGTTTTTTTTTGCGATGTTCTGAATATTCCAAGCGAGTGCAATATTGTATTTGTATTTAATTAGATACACACAAGGTCTATATGTATGCAAACTGGCAAAACCACTGCCATTGAAGTTAATTGGATAACTGGATAAGCTATATGTATATCACACCTTCTGAGTTCTGTTGAACTAATCAAGCGTGGATGCCAGCATTAGCAAATCACGAAGTTTAATCTAACTATACTGTACTTATACAAATATTTCAGGGGTGTTCCAGACAGTTTTCAGTATTATTCAACTAGCTGTGCATGTGTCGTGTTAATTCATGATGCCCAACCTCTTCTGATATAGCAAAGCCAATATATGTTATGATACAAGTGTGAAGTGGGCCCAACTAGACAATCCACGTACAGTATATATATAACCAAACTTAGCATCCAGAGCCAGACTGCAGAGTTGTGCAGTTTTTAACACGATGTTGGGGATGCAAAAGCTAAAAAATGTAGGGGCAGAGAGGCACAAAACAGTTTCCAAGGGCAAGAGCACATCAAGAGCCGTCACGGAACCACAAAAGTTGCAATATTAAATGTTTAAATTTATGAAATTTAGATATTTGGAGTAGATTTGAGTTTGAAATGTTTTTATATATCAAGAGCTTCCCAAGGTGCTTTATTTCAACCGTGTTTCAACTGTCAAATGTGTTATAATATACATGTGTTCTCTGTCTCTGAGATTTGGTCGTGTATCGTGGGTAAAAAGTCGTGCGTCGTGCGTAAAAGTCATGGGTCGAAAAATGCTCTAAATTTCCAGTTTTCGCTCAAACACTGCTTTGGCTACCCTGGTTCCAGAGGTTTTTATGCCGCCGCATTATAAATTACGTAATACGAGCGAGAATATAGGGCGAAACTGGATACCAGAACCTCTGGCAACCAATTTGGCTAAATAATTTGCTCAAACACTGCTTTTGCTAAATAAATTGCTTTGTTTTAAAAAACGTAATGGTTATAGTAAAAAAAAGAAAATCGCAGAAATGTGAATATGTACATTATATATTCACATTTCGAGATGTAGAGATATTTCATTTTCGGCTTTATTTAGACAAAGACAGTCATCAATTATCTTACGGTATACTGTAAGTCACGACACTGAGAACGCATCCATTTTCTTTGGTCGCTCTTGTGCTCTTTAGTCGAGTTTCAGTATACAGCTAAAAGTATTCTTCGATCTAGTTTTGGCTATGTTGTACGATCGTACGAATTTACAACTTGATCAAGTAGGGCAGAAATAAATTCAAAGCAGCTAAAATTACGGCTTATATGCAAGACATACAGGTATAACGCTTGTTCAACAGATTATGAACACAGCAAGTGTTTGCCAGTGTGTGCGCGCATGTTTCCTGTCGAATTTCTAGGTGGTTTATGCATGTAATTAATTAATTAAGGTTTCCTTTAAATGCGTCATAAGATTTCTTTAGTCACTTGCCACCTGGCCATATCCTAGTGCTGCGCTTCTGACTTCAGTTCGAAGTTCGAATGCATAATGTGGAGAATTTCGGTTAAACATTCAGTTGGGCATTGCCGATTGTTTACACGCGTTTTGCTAAAACAGAATTTATTTGACAAAAGCAGTGTTTGAGTGAAAACTGGAGCGTGTTAGGGAGGGAAACGGAAGTGGGGGGCCTGGCTTTCGAGGTTGAAATAGCACTCGTCCTTCGGACCCGTGCTATACGTATGTTGAGGTCTTTGAAAAACTCACTCATGCATTTTATATCCAAATTGCACTCGAAACCATGCTATTACCTATACTTATTACTATCGTTACTTGTGATTTTCGAAACATATAGCTACCAAATTGCACTCGCCTCAATTAGCTGCTCATGCAATTTTGGCACATTTTTCAAAGATCGCTCGTTAATGATTTTTGAAATTGCACTCACTTGGACCATATGATTACCAACACAAAATGTACCTTATACTTCAACTTCGAAATAATTCAGTGGTGTATTCCATTTTTATACACCTGCAAGAGTAAACAGGGGCACACATTAAACGAATTGCTGGGGGGGGGTGAACGATCTGGGAACCGAGTTGAAGACTTTGGATGAAAAATAATATATAAAACATATAGTGATCATATTCTTTTACTGATATATTTTCCTTAGATCCATACCATGTGAAAGTTGCCTCACTAGTTGAGCCACGAGACGATTTTTTGATCCGTCCACTAGACCTCATGTTCGTGGGGAAGTTAAAAGTGGAAATTCGTGAACGGTGCAGTACATTCGTCAAACCATTAATTGCCATGGTAAGTGATGTAACAAGAAAAGAGGACTTTAGTCTGGCAAAACTCGAAGATGGCAAATACACTTTGGAAGTCATCGGTGGGAACCATAGAAGAGAAGCATTCATTCAGCTTCAGCAAGAAGGGCAACTGGACAACGATTCAATCAAGGTTCAGTTGTTTACAGGTATGCTCTTTAAAACAGTATCTAACCCACACAAAACAAGTACGGTCTAGAATTCCCTTTGTTTCGCGCGCCTTTCTGCACGTTTATTTTCAGTTTTCATCTTTCACACGGCATTTTCATTTCTTGAATGTCGTTCTTTCATTATAAAATATTGCCGAATATTTCTTTACAAATTTAACAGTTAAACGTGTGACGCTTATAAGAAAAACAAAATCTTTATCTTAGCCAATCACGAGCTTGATAAATAATGAGAACCACTCGAAACGTCGAAATTGTCCTTTCAAGTAAAAATAAGACTTTTCAGTAATTCAGTTGCTTGTTGGGCTTGCACGATTGCATGGGCAGGTTGTTTTGCTAGAAATTGCCACAAAAAATTGTTTTCTTATTTATGTTTAATGCCTTCTGTTTTCCATTCTTAATTTATAAATCAGCTGAAATCAATACTTCATGATTAATTTAAGTCTTCAAATTACTTTGTTAAGGAAAACATCAGATTAGAATATTGATTGATCAATCCTTAATTGCAACCATTTGCTTCAAATTTTGCCAAATTATGTGAGCGGCAAACTAGACCTCAGATGGCAAGTGAATTTTGTTCCACTGGCTTGTTTTGAAAGACATGCAGACACCTTTGCAGACATGAATTTATTTTCAAATTGATGTCTGCAAACATACTGGCAGTCAAAATGGCAAAGCAGAATTTTGTTTTTATGACTAGAAATAGTTAGAGTGGAAGGATGAATATAAGTTAAATTTATGTTTTTCTCACTAGAAATGTCACAGAAACAGGCTTTGCGATTGGCACAGCTTCATAACCGAGAGGACTCATTCCACCATGACCTATCAACAAGCGACAAAGTGAGGAATTATTTAAAATGTTTTCATTCTAATTAATGCAGTCGTTTACCAGTTCTGGGTGCTATAAACATTGCTGCAATTACTTTTTTAAGCCATTAAGTGACAATGTAGGACTGTTCGGTATACCGATATACCGAAAATATCGGTATTAAATCAATATCGGTATATCGATACCGGATATTCAACGGAACCATACCGATATACCTAAATTTCCGATATACCGGAATTTTTCGGTATACCGTGTTAAATTTACCAACCATATTTCGAAACCATAACCTTCATTTTACTACTGAATGGCAATTCAAATAACTTTCTACTGCAATGATTAAGAATTTCCACTTCAGTGAGATTTTACACTGAGTACGTGTCGTTCGAAACATGTTCGAAACAGCTTCGAAATTATCGTTTTCCCTTTTAAAATTACTCAAAATTTCTTTCAAATTTCCATTAGAAAATTTTCCTTTATAATTATCAAAGGAAAACCGGTATACCGATAATATCGGTATAATTTTTTCGGTATACCTATACCGGAAATTTCTCATACCGAAAATTCCTATTACAATGTACCATACTGCACCCACTTTGTTATTTTATTTTGTCTTTTACCATTATGAACTATTTTAGTCATCACGAGAGATTCTAGTGCAAAAATTGGTCAAATGCCATGATCCTCAATAAACCCTTTGAGTGGCAACGTACCTTGATGATATTTAGGGTTCATTTGTATATCTACTGTATGCAGGCAATGAATCATTTGTGTCTCTCAAATGGCTCATTGAATCACGATAGTACAGTATATGACAGATAATGGATGATAATTGAATCTACACTACAGTGTACAGGCAAAGCACTGTGTGTATTTATGTTTTTCTGTTGGGAGCACGTATCTTTCTGTCAATTCGCTGTTCCATAACTTTGCAATACTGTTGTAAATAACAGTTAATGATGACAGATAAAAATTACTTCTACAGATATCATTAATTCTGTCTATAACATTTTTTACAGGTAAAGTTATGTAGAAACCTACTGCTGAAAGAATTTGCAAACAAAAAATCTGCAAGTTGGAGAAATTTGTGTTCTGTGATTATTGGTGAAACTGTAAGTAAAACACAATTATACTGTATACCTAGTCATTAATAATACATGCATCTTAGTTAATTGTCTCACACTTTTGCTGCAACTGACAATTTGCATGTAAAAATTGTAAAGTGTAACCATCAATTAAATCTACAGTATAATTGCAACACTTTAAGGAAAAGTTGCACAAAGTAGAATCAGTTTCTGCTTTGTGCATTATGCTGCACCACTTGGTGATTGCATGATCTCGAGGTTAAATTTACATTGATGATTGTTCTATCTGATCAAAATTCAAATGTTACATCCATTTACTGCAAGTCATCTAACTTGGTATATTAAATGATTGGAAATGTTAGCCTGCATACAAATTGACTTCACAAGTTATTTTACTTGCATTCTTGTTGCAATGACATTACAAACAACATGGACATTACAAACAACATGTGCTGTTAAAAACAACTGCCTCCTATTTTGTTAGGAAAATGTTTTAAATGATTGTTTTCTTTTTCTATTTCCATAGGAAACCATGCTTTCAAATGTCCTTTTTGTTGCCAGTGAACTGGATGATAATGTTTACAATGCTGTGCTGGAGTTAATGAAACAATATGGAGCACTAAAATTAAAAGGACAAAAGGCATCCAAAAAGGCAGTGAAAGATAATGACAAAAATAAAACATTGAAAGTTTCATTTCCATACACAAAGTTGAAATGCTTGCGCGGTGACTTAAAAATGGACGAACTGCTACAAATGCTGCATAATGTAATCAGTGGCGATATAAGCTTGCAAGATATGGAGAAAGAATTGGGTCGTTTGAAAGAGATGCGAGCATTGCAAAATTATTTTGTCAAGAACACCAACTGTAGCTCTTGGAGAGAAGCAAAAGAGAAGTAATTTTAATTCATTAATGTTTTCGGCATTGTATTTGTAGGCAGTGCAAGATTGTGTTGCCAATAATATGCATCCCCTTACAAAAATATCCTATAGAAATTCCCATAGGAATTTGTTTTCCTATAGGAATTTTGTTTTCCTATAGGAATTTTGTCCCAACTTCTTATAGGAATTTTTCCTATAGGAATTCCTACAGCTAATTTTCGTAAGGGTCAGCATAATATTATATTGTGACACTCACACTGTCAGACTGTGAAATTGTGCTGGTTACCTTTCAATTATATATGAGCTCTGAGATGAACCATATGGGCTGTACAGACATTAACCCATTATGTTGCATACTGATTATTTGCCCTACTGCACCTTATTCTAACTGTACTTTACTCATTACAGGCTGTGTGCTGGTGCACAATGAGCTAATTAATTACACTGTCTGCCCATGTTTCTATTTAACCTAATAACTAACACCAGTCACCAGATGATTTTTCTTTTTTTTAAGTGCTCTTAGACTATTACATGTACAGTACAATAGATTCAATTTTATTGTTATAAGTAGTTGTCTTTGTAATGTTTACAACATGAGCGGCCGTGTTGTATCGGATATACAAACTCGTGCCGAAGGCAAGAGTTTGTATATCCGATACAACACAGATGCGAATGTTGTAAACAACTTAAAAAACGACTCATCTTATAAGTTCATTGGTGAAGTAATTTTAAAAATGAACGTTAATTGTCTATAAGCTGAGAAAATCAAAGTTAAAGTTTATATGTTAATCAACATGAATCTGTATCACATATACAGATACGACACGCTTATGATTTTTCTTTGTGTTTTCTTCATGAATTATTAACGAGTTTTTTAATAAAAATTTGTTCACGTAGGTACCCCAAATATACAAGTGAAGAGGTGTTGCAAGGGTTCCGGGGAGAGATCACACGTGGAGTGGCCAAACAAAGATTCCAATCATTTGTTCAGCGTGCTGTTGGTTATGGCTGCAGATTGCCAGCGGCTGAACACAACAGTTTAGTTACACTCATTGAACTAGACTGTTTGGAAGAATTGAATCCAAGCATAATGCCAGAGAAATTACCAAATTTCAAGGGGGCAGATCTTGTATTTGTGGACATACCAAAGGTATGGTAACAAGGCTTTTAATTTTGCATGCTAAAGTACAGCAAAGGTCTACTGTAGGTCTAGACTGATTCCTAGCTGTCATATAAACTGTATATACCCATTACAAAAATCATCAAACCAATTTCCCTCTCTCAGGATTATGATTTGCTGCATTGTCCCTGGGGGATAATTAGTTACAGCAAGAATTAGCCTTTCTGACGCTGCCATTTTTGGTTGGCTTTTCAGCTGAAGATAAATTAAATCATTTAATTACAGCTGAAGGTAAATTTACTCTGTTAATGGTTAGTTTGTTTTGAAAAATTGCTTTTCACATTGTTTAAACTGTCTGCATTTGCTAAATAAATGTGTATGTATATGTACTGTATGTAATTGCATTGGTTAATGAGAATTAGATATGCCACCCAACTCGTCATCGTGAGAAAGGCTAATTGATCCATAACTTATTAAATATACCAATTTCCCATTTTAAAGTTGCACTGCACTGATTTTATTATTTCACATTTTCACTTGACTATCTATAAATGCCAGACAGTTTTATTGATCAAAGAGAGAGTGCTGGCATTCAATATGAGAAAATATTTGTAACATGAAATACAATACAACGGTATAACTCCGAATAAAGTAAGCATTTTGATTCAACGTTTCGACTTTATTTAGTCATCATTCCTGATGATGACTAAATAAAGTCGAAACGTTGAATCAAAATGCTTACTTTATGCGGAGTTACCGTTGTATTGTATTTTATGAAAATACTCAGTGGTTCCCGCAATTATTTTTGTAACATGTCTTAATTAATTTTGTATAGATCAGATCCATTTGATAATGACAGCTCTTATTTTCCAGGGCCAGTTGTTCAAAAGCTGTCTAACTTATGCATGAGTCAATCCGTACTGTTACCAATGTCCCTCCCCCTGGGTAACTCTGGGGACAATGCAAAAGAATACATCCCGGGGGTGGGGAATTGCTAAACAGATTTTATTCCTGGGGATATAGATCGAGTGGGGATCCAGTGAAGAGAAGATGTAAAATCACAAAATTTCCTTCCAAAAATCCCTAAATTTCTTTCCATTTTTCCTTTCAAATTTTAATCAAAATTAACGAATTTACCGAGCAATTATAAATGTCCAGACAGTAACGTAGAAACACATATTATATTAATTTATAGGAAATAGAACTGCATTTTGCAGGTTCAATTCTGCTTTAGAGCCACATGCATGCACAGAAACTTCAGAACTGTAGTATGAAGTGGCTTGGAGTGTGTTCCCAGGCCAGAGACAAGGTTAATCTAAATTTATACTAGAATATTGTTAAAAGTTAACTAACATTCTCGACTAATATGATACTGTAATTGGGGGCTTGAGTGGACTCCTCGTAAGTGGGTGCAGCCGTGCAGAGGAGAGACACCTCATTTAAGCATTTTCTGAATTGCCACCACGTCATATAGGCGCCTCACAATGAGACACCCTGTAGGTCCAATTAAGCCAATCTGGTCATTTTGAATGTTTTCACGGGGCCCGGGGTGATGGCCATTCCTTAGGGCAGAGGCTAGGAAAATGGCAGCAGGATAGGCTGATATCAAAAGCATTGACAAGGAGTCAGACTGCAATAAGTACACTATTAAATTACTAGAATGCTATGCTGTATAGTGGTGTAATTTTACATTTTCATGATCAATTAAACCTGCAAAGTTCCCGGCAACTTGCAAAATTCCCAACCTGCAAAATTCCAACATGCAAAATTCCCAACCTGCAACCTGTGTTTTGTACCTGCCGGAATTTTTAGCGTTCCCCCGGGGGCGGGAATTAGCAAATATGAAATATCTGAGTCCCGGGGGTGGGGCAGCAAAGCCAAAAATGGCAAATCCTTGGGATGTTGCCGGGCGAGGGGGGGGGGGGTGTGATGGTAATAGTACAAATTGACTCATGCTTTAATAACCGGTTAACTGGCAAACTTCCTAACAGCTTGTTTATACCTTTGGAAATATAAATATTGTCTGTGTCAGTAGGAGGTTTCTTCTCTGAAATTTTGAAGATGTGCAGAAAATCAGAAAATAATACATAAAGTAAAACAGCAGGTTAAATTTTAACCCAGTGCCAGGGTTTAAGCGCTAATCCATCTTTGAACAACCGGCCCTTATTTATATTTATGTCCCTGAGTGCTTACCTGTACCACAGACTGTAGGTCTCCCCTGATTATACTTAACACAGCATTTGGGGGTGAATTCAATATAACCATATTAACATAATGTTTCCAACTTTTTTACCAATGCGTTTTACTGCCTACCAATGCCATAAATTAAGTATGGACATAGATTATGTATTAAGTACTGTTATACTTAATCTGTGCCAAAACTTTATATGTTGAAGATTGTTGAAAGTCGTTTTAATAAATTTATAAAATACTTCATTTTAATAAAGCCCGCAAGTTACCTGGCAACCTGTAAACTCTCCTGCGCACCTCCCGATCAATTTCCCCCCCCCCCCCATTGGTATGCCATTGGCGCAATCAATTTATTCTGCAAATAAAACTTTGTATTTAATAATTTTATAGAAGTGGAGCCTCGAAGATTTGATAAAGTTTTTGAGGATGATAAAGAGTCTAAACTATGCCAACAACGTAGAACAAACAAGGTTTATTCTCTTTCCAAGCACTTCTGCAGAAGCTGTGATGCTTTTCCAGTTACAAATGGCAGCCGATCCTTTGGAGCGTGCAAATGTACTGGACTGGAAGCTGGCTTATTACCAGAAGCCTTCCGAAATAAATGCAGGTAATTTAATTTTAACAGTATGAAATCAAGCTCCTAATTTTTTCCAATATCACATTTTTATATATCTGTATTTATGTACAACACATGTAATACATTGTTGTATATTTGTACATGATTTTGAGATGCATGCTGTCTGGCATTTCGAGTCATTCGACTGAACTGAAGTTTACAAGATATTTTACTTTATAATGTTAACAATGTTGTAAAAGTGCAAACAAACTTGATATGGCGGGGTATCCAAGCAGTGGGCCATTCCTTGCCATCCAGCAAATTTGGGGAAATTCTCCATATGGCAATGTGACCTCCACATTGCATCTATTTAGGCAATACCTGTGTTTACATTTTATTAAAGTGTGAGTGTGGATAACCTATATCTATTAATTCTCTCACACACTCAGATTAGTAGTAATATTTGTTATGGATATGTGTTGTATATAATAATTATTTCTTTTTGTAGATCATTGTAAACTAAACAGTGTGGTATTGCCATTTGTGCTTTGCTGTGGACCACCGAATATGGCAACCACAAATATGTTTATTGTTGAGAGTTCAGAACCAATAGTCAAGGAAAAGGACACCGGGATTGTCCACAGTAGGCAAAAACCTACTAAATTATATGAAGAACTGATCAGTATCTTTAATAAAGATAAGTCTTTGCATATTCTAGATTGTTGTGGTGGTGCAGGCTCATGTGCATTGGCCTGTAATGCATTGGGACTGAAATGTATTGTGATTGAGAAATCACCAATAAAGGTGCGTCTCATACGACAAAGGTTGCTATGCTGAATGCAAAGTTTTAAAGACCATGTCAAGTCCGTAATGTAAACAATTCCTTTGTTTACATTTTGAACTGCTATATTTGTAAAATCATGACATACTGAATATCTAACACTTTTCTGGTATGCAATTGTAAATGAATATAAACTAGAGTATGTTTCAATTCAAAAAAGTTTGAAAGATGCAAAATTTGGGCAAAGTTTATATCTGTGGGTCCCCCTTTGTTATGAGCAGAACTGGTGTGCAGAACGGACTTGATATGGTCTTTAAGTTAAAGGATTAGTGTCACACCATGGTATATCTTTTACCTAAAATTAACAAATACGAATCGGATAACATAAACAATGATTCTCAAAGGATGGTTTAAATATACAATGGACTACAAAAAAAGTTAGATTGTAGTTATCTCATAAAATGGCCGTCAGCAGCAAATTGAGCCTGCAATACCATGGTATGACACTAAATCTTTAACCAAAACTGACTATTTGCAGGGTTCGAATTAGCGGCTCGCTATTTGCAAATTCATCCATTTTGCGAATGATGTTTTGCAGAAACAATGTATTAAGGTTTACATAAAAGGTTGATTTTCACAATCACTTCACAATGTATTTTACTATAATTAAGTAAGATATGGAGTATTTTAATGACTATTATTGTAATTTTGTGTTAAAAGATGTGTGAAATGAATAATATGGCTATAATTTATTCAGAAAATTTATGAAATTTGCTATGAAACGACCGCCACAGTGTTTCGACTTTTCAAACTGAGATTTCCTTCAAATTTTCAAGAAGGAAATTTGTGAATTGATTTTTTCTGTCTAATTTGAACCTTGATTTGTTGAAGTGCTTTCACTTTTACAGTACTATTAATACAAATGTTGTTCTCTATTATTTAGCATCTCTTTAATAAACATGTCTAAGGCAATGTTTGTTTTTGACTTTTTTTCAAATATTTCGAACAAGGCTTGTTTTGACATGCCAATATTTTGTATATAATTTTAAGTTTTCAATATTTCAAAGACATAATATTCTTTCGATATTTCAAAGCCATGGATAGTTTAGAGTTTTGATATATTGAAGAAATGGCATTCTTTCGCTATATTAAAGAAATGTCATTCTTTCAATATATCGAAGCCATCAATATACTGTAGTTTAGAATTGTCGATATATCGAAGAAATGGCATTCTTTCAATATATCAAAGAAATGGCATTTTTTCGATATATCGAAGAAATGGTATTCTTTGACGATATATCGAAGAAATGGTATTTTTTCGATATATCGAAGAAATGGCATTCGGTATATTTTTTTCGATATATCGAAGAAATGGTATTCTTTCGATATATCGAAGAAATGGTATTCTTTCGATATATTGAAGAAATGCTATTCTTTCAATATATTGAAGAAATCCCATTCTTTCGATATATCGAAGAAATGCTATTCTTTCGATAAATCGAAGAAATGCTATTCTTTCGATATATCGAATAAATGATATTCTTTCGATATATCGAAGCAACGGATAGTTTGGATAGTTTACAGTTTTCGATATATCGAAGGGATGGCATTGTGAAGACATGGCATTTTCTTGATATATTTCAGTGACTGGGGCTGTCTCCAGACATGTTTTGGAACTATAACATTTTCCTCTTTTTTTCCCTTTTATTCACATGCCTTGTACACACTTTACTAAAAACAGTAAATTTTCCCTGAATATTTTAGCAGTTTTATGCTCTTGGAGATTTAGTATCATTTTAGTCATATTTTGCAACTTGGAAAAGCTAAAATTATTGCAAAATGTGTATGTTTATGCTGAATATATTTTCAGTCATTTTTAATATGCATTTGATGTGATTTTCCTATTAAAACATGAAATATGTCTATGTCCACTTTTACAATTTTTCTTATGTTTTGAACCATTTTTTAACATCCTTGAAAAGGAATTCTTGTTTTCATGCAGAATTATTACATTTATGTATAATTTCTCCACAGTCATGGCTGTATTCAGTGCATTTTTGTGTGTTTTCTTTCATTTTCCTCTCAAATTCTGTTAAATAGAATATTGGACCCTATAGTAGAACGTGTTTTGACCGAATAGCACTATTTGCTGCAATGTGCAAAAATAAGTTTTTTCCAACATTTTGTCATATCTCACGAACTATTGAAGCAATCGAGCTGAAACTCAGCGCGTTGTGCTCAGCAGGTTACGTTTGACCGAATAGCACTATTTGCTGCAATGTGCAAAAATAAGTTTTTCCAACATTTTGTCATATCTCACGAACTATTGAACCAATCGAGCTGAAACTCAGCGCGTTGTGTTCAGCAGGTTGCGTTTGACCGAATAGCACTATTTGCTGCAATGTGCAAAAATAAGTTTTTCCAACATTTTGTCATATCTCACGAACTATTGAAGCAATCGAGCTGAAACTCAGCGCGTTGTGCTCAGCAGGTTGCGTTTGACCGAATAGCAGTATTTGCTGCAATGTGCAAAAATAAGTTTTTTCCAACATTTTGTCATATCTCACGAACTATTGAAGCAATCGAGCTGAAACTCAGCGCGTTGTACTCAGCAGGTTGCGTTTGACCGAATAGCACTATTTGCTGCAATGTGCAAAAATAAGTTTTTTCCAACATTTTGTCATATCTCACGAACTATTGAAACAATCGAGCTGAAACTCAGCGCGTTGTGCTCAGCAGGTTGCGTTCGACCGAATAGCACTATTTGCTGCAATGTGCAAAAATAAGTTTTTTCCAACATTTTGTCATATCTCACGAACTATTGAACCAATCGAGCTGAAACTCAGCGCGTTGTACTCAGCAGGTTGCTTTTGACCGAATAGCACTATTTGCTGCAATGTGCAAAAATAAGTTTTTCCAACATTTTGTCATATCTCACGAACTATTGAACCAATCGAGTTGAAACTCACCGCGTTGTGCTCAACAGGTTGCGTTTGACCGAATAGCACTATCTGCTGCAATGTGCAAAAATAAGTTTTTTCCAACATTTTGTCATATCTCACGAACTATTGAACCAATCGAGCTGAAACTCAGCCCTTTGTGCTCAGCAGGTTGCGTTTGACCGAATAGCACTATTTGCTGCAATGTGCAAAAATAAGCTTTTTCCAACATTTTGTCATATCTCACGAACTATTGAACCAATCGAGCTGAAACTCAGCGCGTTGTGCTCAGCAGGTTGCGTTTGACCGAATAGCACTATTTGCAGCAATGTGCAAAAATAAGTTTTTTCCAACATTTTGTCATATCTCACGAACTATTGAACCAATAGAGCTGAAACTCATCGCGTTGTGGTCAGCAGGTTGCGTTTGACCGAGTAGCACTATTTGCTGCAATGTGCAAAAATAAGTTTTTTCCAACATTTTGTCATATCTCACGAACTATTGAACCAATCGAGCTGAAACTCAGCGCGTTGTGCTCAGCGGGTTGCGTTTGACCGAATAGCACTATTTGCAGCAATGTGCAAAAATAAGTTTTTTCCAACATTTTGTCATATCTCACGAACTATTGAACCAATCGAGCTGAAATTCAGCGCGTTGTGCTCAACAGGTTGCGTTTGAGCGAATAGCACTATTTGCTGCAATGTGCAAAAATAAGTTTTTTCCAACATTTTGTCATATCTCACGAACTATTGAACCAATCGAGCTGACACTCAGCGCGTTGTTCTCAACAGGTTGCGTTTGACCGAATAGCACTATTTGCTGCAATGTGCAAAAATAAGATTTTTCCAACATTTTGTCATATCTCACGAACTATTGAACCAATCGAGGCTGAAACTCAGCGCGTTGTGCTCAGCAGGTTGCGTTTGACCGAATAGCACTATTTGCTGCAATGTGCAAAAATAAGTTTTTTCCAACATTTTGTCATATCTCACGAACTATTGAACCAATCGAGCTGAAAGTCGGCGCGTTGTGCTCAGCAGGTTGCGTTTGACCGAATAGCACTATTTGCTGCAATGTGCAAAAATAAGTTTTTTCCAACATTTTGTCATATCTCACGAACTATTGAACCAATAGAGCTGAAACTCATCGCGTTGTGGTCAGCAGGTTGCGTTTGACCGAGTAGCACTATTTGCTGCAATGTGCAAAAATAAGTTTTTTCCAACATTTTGTCATATCTCACGAACTATTGAACCAATCGAGCTGAAACTCAGCGCGTTGTGCTCAGCAGGTTGCGGTTGACCGAATAGCACTATTTGCTGCAATGTGCAAAAACAAGTTTTTTCCAACATTTTTTCATATCTCACGAACTATTGAACCAATCGAGCTGAAACTCAGCGCGTTGTGCTCAGCAAGTTGCGTTTGACCGAATAGCACTATTTGCGGCAATGTGCAAAAATAAGTTTTTTCCAACATTTTGTCATATCTCACGAACTATTGAACCAATCGAGCTGAAACTCAGCGCGTTGTGCTCAGCAGGTTGCGTTTGACCGAATAGCACTATTTGCAGCAATGTGCAAAAATAAGTTTTTTCCAACATTTTGTCATTTCTCACGAACTATTGAACCAATCGAGCTGAAACTCAGCGCGTTGTCCTCAGCAGGTTGCGTTTGATCGAATAGCATTATTTGCGGCAATGTGCAGAAATAAGTTTTTTCCAACATTTTGTCATATCTCACGAACTATTGAACCAATCGAGCTGAAACTCAGCGCGTTGTGCTCAGCAGGTTGCGTTTGACCGAATAGCACTATTTGCTGCAATGTGCAAAAATAAGTTTTTTCCAACATTTTGTCATATCTCACGAACTATTGAACAATCGAGCTGAAACTCACCGCGTTTTGCTCAG